TTAAAGAAATTATATTTTTCTATTATGATTTGTCGAGCCGTGAAATCTCCGACTGCGAGCGAGATAACATGGGCGCAGCAATGACGCAGACCTAGGCGTAGGACCATCTATACTGTCACTTGTAGAATCCAAACTTACTGACTCTTGTAGAGAATTTACTGTATCTTGCTCGAAGTATCGACGAAAGTACAATTGCTCGCCACAATCTTCGAGCGAAATAAGTCCCCTAAAGAAGAAGAAGAAATAGAGGAGTAGGAGGAATTCGAGTTTGGTTCAACCGTTTGACTCGACATAAGAATTTTTCCCTTCAGATATCGTACAGTGGTTAATTACAAACGATAATAAACCGTGTTTCTATGCATTGATATTACACCGAAACTTAGTACAATAGTGCACACATAAACGTCCGCAGTCGGGACCGAATGCGGACGCTTAAGTGGGGAGGTGACTTGTGCGAATTTAACTGAAGGAAAGACAGGAGATCTCCTCTCCGAAGTCCCATTTCCAAGAATTGGCGGGGATAGCGACGGACGCTTAACTGTGCAAAAATGCGGACGCTTATGCGTGCACTACTGTTTTTCGCAACTAATATTACGGTGAAATATTGAAATAAAGGGAAACTGCAAGGTGACCAAACGAGCGCGGACTAACTGGACTATTTGGACGGCGAAGGGTTAAGTGACAGAAAGGCCGGGTCCGTGGCGCGAAGGAACACGCGAGGTAGCCTGAGGTGACAAGTTAAAAAGGGAGGGACGAGGTGGCGGCGCGAGCCTTGCACAGCCGTCTCCTCCTTCCCTCCTCCGGGATCATGCTAATGAAATTCTCAAGATATCTATCTCGCGCGCCACTGTGCACGGGGCATTAGTTTAGCGTCCTGCTCGCGGCCACCTCGATCTTATCTGTCCGCCTTCGGACGCGCGGTATCAATTTCCCTGGAACGTGAAACGTACGGTCCATCGAGCACGTCACACGATTCGCGCTAACGATCCAACGAAGCTACTGGTTCTCCGGTACTCCCTCTTTAACGTTGCGTTTGCTTTAGCAGAAATGGAACGGTGAGTGTGTAGTTTCGACGGAGGGAATTTTCTTTCTCCCAAAATTGGCTGAGTAATTTAATTGGTGTATTTTATGGATGCCTCGGAGATGGTGATTGGTAGAACGGAGGTCGGGAAAAAGGGAAATTGTTAGTAGAATTTCTCGGATTATTATGATCCCTTTTTTGGGGATTTTTTTTGGATCAAAAAGAACGTTTCGTTCAGTTTAGTAGGATTGGAGTGGAATTAGAGTGTGCAGGGGAATAATGAGTTTCGTTAACCCCAGAGATTCTGGCGAAGATGCGACAAAAATAGTAATATTAGTAAGAAAAATTAAATGTAATCGTAACGTTCGTTTCAATTTGTAAAATTGACGATTAGTAGATGTAATTAATCTATAACAAACTAGCTTCTGTTAGCTGATAGAGTACTAAAACAAAATGGCTGACGCTTAGATGCGTAGACAGAAAAGAAATCATATGTTAAGGGGTTAAGAGGAGTTTTGTAAATTGGCTAAATTTTTTCCTTCTAGTGTATACTTAGATGTACCATATAAAAAACGTCGAAGTTAGAATAATTAATGCAAACTAAATTGTCGTATATAATTATTTCTCTGTTTCAACAAAAAACCTTGGACGAAAGTGTTACCTAACCTCGTTCAACCTAACCTAACCTAGCCTCGGACAGAAGCGTCTTGAAAATTTCTGCAATTAATAGTAAAAAAATCTAGAAATCCATCGTTTCAAAGGTTTTTCCAGCGTTAAAGATCGGCATACTTTGTTGAAACAATACTTCCTTGTTGCACGATCCTTCAAAGCTCGTTCATCATTCACGAGGAGGCGAAACGGGTCGATGGTCGATCATCACGCCGCGTAACACAAAAGGCGACGTATAAATTATAACGGCGTCGGAATGGCTACTTAGCCGCTCCATTCACCGCGTAAAATCGAAAGCGGCCCTGGGTGAAACGTCTTCATTTTTCATGGCCACGAGAATCGAGTCTCGAAGGGTTGCGCGCACAGTGTTTTTCCCTCGGGGCTAGCCCGCTTCATTACTCCCTCCCCTCCTCTCCTCTTTTTCCCCTTTGGCGAACGCTCTTTGGCAAAAGAAGAATAAAATTCCGGACGTATTCGATCAGCCGTGAACAAATTACTATATAATTTTCCCGCCGGCGCGATTACTCACGTTAATGGTGCAATAATTCATAGGAACGCGTTTCGCTGCCCTGGCCCATGCACCGCGGCAATGTCTTCCGATGATCGGTCCATGTGAAACGATGGAAACGGTGCTGAATCGTTTAACCTCTTGGATTTCTTTTCTTTTCTTTCGAAGTTAGAAAAGGGTGGACGAATTGTTTTTTCAAAGTTAGATAAAAGTGCGATTG